CAGGCCTTCAGCTCCAGCCCAAACCCAAACCCCTGGGAGGATCTAAAAATTAGATCCCCTATATAGACCCATTATAACCCCTATATAATCCTTATATAATTTCCCATATGGTTCTAGGGGATCTAGTTTTTAGATCCCTTTGGGGGTCTGGGAACTGAGCTCCGTGCAAAGGAGGCTTCACCCCGGCACGCGCAAGTCCATTGGGATATCCAAGGTAGGAGGGTACCTGCGCCATGGGTCAAGGCACATCTGGGTTTGGTTTAGGAATTCAGGGGCTTTTGGGGCTAAGGGCTTTTGGATTTAGGGCTTAGGGCTGAGGGTTTAGGGTTGTGAAGACCCGTTGCTTCCCCAGTCGCGCCTGCACAGCCCGGATGGATCCCAGCTTCATGGTCGCCAGAGCTTCCGATAAGCCCTCGGTGACGCCCTGAAGCGCAAAAGAAGAAGGCCAAGAACAGAACGATCCCGGCTACGCTTGATGATGTTCCTACATGTTCCTGCCAAGTCAAGTGCCTACAGGAACTCAGGGCTGCTGGTAGTCACAGCTTCAGACTGGAATTGTTTGTGCTCTGTATCTTTCCCCAAATGGGTGTTCAGAATAGCAAGCAGACCCATGCCCTTTTTTAAGCTGTCCCCCTTGAACTCACCTCCGGTTGGCAAGTAACGAAAAAAGAAGATGGAAACTACTATAGTTCTGAGAATTCATAGGGATGACTCTAAATAAAGATCCATCCCCTCATTCCTTGCGAACCAGAGGTAGGTGAAAGCAACAGACGCCTCTGTTTCCGTGCCAAGCGGGAAGACTAGCGGGGCACCATCTGCGCGAGTGTCCAGGAACACAGGGTCGTCCTTTTCCATCAGGTATCCTGCGCTTATAGTACGAAACACTAGGGTTATGAATAACTGCAATTGTCACAGGCTGCCCGGGATGTAGCTTGAGATTTCCGCAGAAGGAATGCGTGAAACAATTCGCGAATGAGCGCCTGCGAGTCTGAACAAGCTCAGTCTACAATTTCTGAGTGCGACTTCTAGTTGTACCTCAAAATCTATATGTCTGCCTACACTGTCCGCCGCACCCCCCCTTTGAATGAGACAAGGTAGCCTCCCAGACCTGAACAGTAGTCATCCCTGCAATGCTGGACTCCAATGGTTCCAGGGACCCTGGCCTTCTAACCGGATTCTCGCTGGCCGAATGCTGATCCAAAAGCCTTTTGGCTGCTCTATCGGGCCCCCTGTATATATTGGGGTTATATAGGCATAATGGAAAAGAACATGGAAACTACATCATAATGGGGTATGGAATGGGGTATATATGGGAATATATTGGGGTTATATACCCTGCTGAAAGGTTTCCCTCAGTGCAATTCGCATGAACCGGACCCTGCACGGTGGTCCTTTGACGTGCGCGAGGACCACGTCGCCGAGCTCGGGCACCTACCAAAAACATCAGAAGGTTTAAGGTTTAGGGGTTTAGGGTTTAGGATTTAGGGGTTTAGGGGTTTAGGGGTTTAGGGCTTAGGGTCGCTCACGCTGCATGGCACCAACAGCAAAGCAACTGGCAAGGATGGAACAGTATAACCACCGATTACAGATGAGCTGAAAGAGCGGGAACATGTCAATAGTACAGGTACTCTCATAAGGCAGTGATGAGCGATGCTGACACGCGCACGTTGCATATTGTGCTGCTAGACTCACCCTCAACCTTAGGGTGCAATGAGGAATCCAACACTAAATGAGGAGCTAGCGGCCAAACTAGAATCATTCCAACCTCAAACCAATCCTTTCGAGGAATTGTCCTTGTAAAGCTAAATTATCCTACAGATTTATGATGTCTCCTACGGTCACTACATAACCTGTCGAGGTCACCGTCATCTGCCCACAACCTAACTAAGCTTTACCTGGACCCTTCAATGTAGTAGGTTGCAACAGGTTCCTCATGCTTCAGGATCCCGACCAACCAGCTAAACCAAACCCAAAATGCAACTGCATTGGAGGCTGGAGGAGGGTCCAGGTCTCGCCCAAAACCCAAAACCCTTAACCCTGAGCCCATTGATATACTTCAAGCCCTCTTTCTGGCACCTCCCCGCCACCGACTCGCAAGTCGAGGAATTGGACACCCGAGGCCAACTTCACAATCTGCACTCAGCAATCAGCGTTCTGGGTTTAAGGGTTTGGGGTTCAGGTGTTTTGGGTCCAAGGGTTTAGGATCGGGTCTTGGAGATTTGGGTTGTAGGGGTTTATAGGGCTTGTTCAATCAATGGCCGGGCAATCGTTGTTTACTAGTCCTGTTATCTCATGTTACGGACCCGTCACCTCCTGAAATCAGGTGTGCACCCCACCCACCCTTCCCTCCAAATATAGTTAGGCTAGTATGTTGGGGGGTGGAACAAAGGGATGACTGATGGGTGGCAGTGCCTCAATATCACTGGCTCCCTTGTTGAACTTGCCCACAGTCCACGTAATGTGCAGCCCACGCCAGCAAACCACGATAAGCAAGGGTACACATGGAAACTTGCAGGATGGCATCACATGTCAAGGCTGCACATCATATGCTGATGTTGACACACAAGTCTGAGAGGTGATAATAAGGACAAGGCTTAACAGCCTGCATCTCTCTGATTCAATACGGTCCAACGTGCAAAGATTGTGGGTTTTGAGTTTGAGCTTTAAAGTCCAGATCTGACATCAAGGCTTCCCAACGCTGGTGGCTTCAGAGGAACATGGGAAGCTGAACTGCTCAAGTTGGGGTACGTCTTGGATAGTTCCAATGAGATCCAGTGAGTATGTCATGACATCGCAACACTTAAGTGTTCTAATGCTTTCCAACTGTGTAGTTTGTGGCATGAAGTGGCATCGAAGGTTGATAAGATTCTGAGGAACCTTACTCGGAGGCTCTCTTGACTGAGTCTGTCCACTCAGCAACCAGGGCCATGGGGCTTCTGCTGGGGTTAACAGCAATAGTAGCAAGTCTTACGAAACCAAATGACCATCCAAGCAGGGTTGCGCAGCTTCCCGGACCACTCAACTCGGATAGCCAGGTACCATGGTTGCGATCACCTTGATTCTAATGTCCATCCGCTATTGTTACGGGAAAGATACGAGCGGGCGCCACGCAAAGGTGGGCTGTATCTGCTGCAGCCCTCGCCTCCTGGAGTTCTGGAAGCCTTCTACGCTAGACAACCACAGCTAGGCTCATCTGATCACTTCGGGCCTCTTTTCCATCCTCCAATTGCTTTCGCTCAATCTCCTTGGTGAGAGGTGCAACATGTTACACTTCTCATCTTGCGCGCGGGTGTTTCCTGTAATTATGGGTGGCGAAGAGGGGCCCTTCTCTGCATTGTCTCTTGTTGAGTACGCACGTTGAATGCTTACCTAAACGGTTGCTCCGAGAGGCAAGAAACGATACTCCTGAAAGGGGATCCCCTCCCGACAGCTCACGAAAAACTTATGCATACTTGACTTCAAAACCCCATACAGACCTGCCTGTAGCATCACCATTAAACACTCCTGGAACTCCGCGATTGCCTTCCAAGGTGCACGACTTGACCGCATTTGTTTTGCAGAGCTCCGCCATGGCATGAAGCATAAACCGAGACCTGTCTTCGCTTCGTTTCATTCGGGCTTTGGGCTAGTTTGGGATCTCGACCCAAGGATCGCTAAAAATAGGCGGATGTTCACCCCCCTATCCACCTCTCAGACTCGACAGCCCTTGTTGTAGGAAACCCTAAAACACACAAGTCGCAGACGCCACCAAGGGCACCTAGCAAAGTCGCGCCAATGCGGCGTGAGACAGGCAAAGCTCCTACATGCGTTATTTGATTTTATTTATGCTTGTATTTGGGGGGTGGGGGAGTGGGCGCGTTTTGAAACAAAGGCAGGGTTTTGGGGCAGGGTGTCAGGGTTTCGGGTTTACAGGGTCCAAAATATGGACCGCCGGTACGGGGCTGAATCTTGTCTGTACAGAATTAATGCTTACCTGCTTCAAAGTCGAAGGCCAAGGGCCTGTGGCTTGGAAATTGGGGTTGAAGCACATGAACGTGGTCTGTCTCTAGTTTTCTGGAAGTATGTGGAAAATCCTAGAACGGCCCACATATTGTTGCATTGAAAGCTCGCGAACATGGCGAACGTTGCAGTTTTCGTCGAATTCAGGGTGATTGGCGCTGGTCAGAATGGTGGTGGTGGTGGCGTCAGCAATGAGTGTGGGCGCAGCAGTTGCATCAGAAGTAGCAGCGGCGTAGTAATGCCCGTGGTATTTCCACAGTCGTGCTTGCAGCAACAGCAGCAGCAGTGAGCGTAGAAGTCGTATGAAGTCGTAGCAGCCATGGTCGCAGTAGGCACATGAGTGGCATCCAAGACAACAACGACCTGGGCAACAGCAAGCACAGGGCTCCTTCCACATTCCAAGAGTCCTTGACCGGCGCTCTCAGAGGCACGTGCGCAGGTGCGCAGAACTGCACGTTCAAAGCAGGCAGCGAGGGCCACATGGCGCACACAAAATAACACCCCTTCTTTAGCAAACAAACGAGACCTGCAGAGCCAATGCTTCTTCCTAGAGGGATTACAGGACGGGACGACCATTGATTTGTAATTACAATCTCAATTGCAACATGTTGAGCAACTTGAACAACTCATGTTTATAGGCTATAGGCAATAAACCAATCACAAGGCCTTCCCAACACATTTCATGAAGTACTCAATGGGATTCGCAACTTTGGCTTGTACATGTTTGTGCTTAAAGCTGCAGAAAGTCAGTGGCCGGGCCAAAATGTCAAAAGTAGAGCCATGTCCTTAAGCGAGCTGGTATGGTGACCTCTGGCCCCGCGCACCCTGGTGTAGGTCAGATCCAATCACACTACCTGGCAGCTTGCGTAAGCATCTTCTAAAGTCTAAGTGCTTACATTGGAGATTGATCTAGACCGGTTTGAAAGAACAAGCTGTCCGAGACAGTTGCTTCCTCGGAGTGGAACACCTGATCATCCGCACCATGCGATGCAACTCCAAGTGGAACCCATCCCACATACTCCTGGCACTAGACTCAGACTGTCATGGTCGCAGACACGCACACATTTTCAAGCGATCCTGGTATTGATTCCCTGCAGAGGCATTGCCCTGCGGTCTCCGCGGTAGTTGTATACACCCAGCTGAACACGTGCCATTAAGCAGCATATGATATGGGGATGCCCTACTGTGCTGATTTATGTAATCTAATTGCCGTCGTGCTCAGAAGGAGCCTCCAACTCATCTTGGCTGTCGGTCCTTGGATATACAGCAAAGGGCTTAGCCTTCGTGTTTAGGATCAAGGTCGGCATTTAAGGTCCCTTACTAGCCTGGTGGTGCTTTTCCGTGGGCCCCTGCAGGGATCCTCGCTGCGCGTAAAGAGAGTCTATGTATATAGGCATTGGCCAGCGTATAGGCGTGTAGTCCCAGCAAGATCTAAGATGAAATATGGACAACCCACATAGCCAAGGCCCAGGACAGCAAACTCAAAACTACAAAGGCTGCATCAAAAACGGCCGTGTCTCACGTAGGTCTCGCAAACCAATCAACGTGATATCAGTCATACCCCTGGTTTGAGAAACAACAACTACATTTGGTGGCTAGTCATAACACAACATAAGGCCGGATTCCTCCAATCCCAAGCCCTTAGTCCAAAACATTCTCCGCGCCTATAACCAAGTTTTTTTCAGCAGACTCGACTCGTTGATTCCTGAAATTTCTGTATGGACCGCAGGTGCAAGCCGAATACCCAAGCACTTCAATCTCCAAGTTGCGATGCTCGTGGTCGGTCTGCCGTCAACCTTACCATCGCAAGGAGCAACCTGAGCTCAGCGCTGCGTTGATTGTGGAGGTGGTAATGGTAATGTTGGGGAAACTGTAAACTGTTGATGGGACAAGGGCAAGGGCCACGCAAGGTTGCGGCAGCCTTGACTAAACCCTACATACTATAAACTAAAGTTTGGATCTGAGAGACATCACCGCCAGAAATCGCGCAAGCTGAGGTTGATGAACCACTGTTCCTTCGGTTGGCGATGCAACAGGATACGAATAAGGGTGGATTGGCATCTGATTTTGATGCACATGTTTAGAGGTGTGTGGCGGTTGGGCCAGCGGGGTTCTGAAGCAACACGTCAATCCAATTTTCATGTTGCCAGCTTCAAGTGTAAACAGGTGGGACGCTATTTGTAACACTGTGCGTCAAGAGACAAACGTGCAGATTAGCACAACTAAACATTCTGAACGCGATGCAAGCTGTCAAACAAACGTAATAACACAGAGCTTGTCCAATTACATACACGTTGAATTTAAAGAAGTTTGCTTCACCGGCCACACTGTCCAAGTCTTTTGCGGGTTCATACTGGTGTCCGTCACACCTGTGGGTCTCACCTCTTCACGCGCCCCGAGCTCCCAAGATTGTGGAGCATGTGAGCTTCTGTGCGAGAACTTGCTCAGAGTTCGGAAAATAGACCCCTCTCTTCATTTCTTTTAAGCCATGCTGTTCCTTTGGACAGTGAACCACTACACCCGATACAAATCAAGGATTTGAAGGTTGTCAAATCCTGGTTTCATTTTTGAAGTCACTAGAATTCATGAGGATCCAACTACTTTGGAGACTCAAAAGCGGACCCCTTCTTGAACAAATGCACCATAGACGGCTGGGGCTATGTAATGAAGTTGCTGCTGCTACTGCTATGACTCCTAATCCTGCCAATGCCACAGCCACTGGTGGTACACAACAGCTGTTGCAACGATCGCTACAACTTCAGACAACGCCAAAACTGCCTAAAATCATGTTTGCATGCGACAGTGGTCATTTTGCTGGGTCATTTTCTTACCAAAGCCCAAACCCTTCGAGCTGTGAAGCTTTAGACCTAGCAACCTTGAAGCCCCAAATCCCGTTTTGCCATTTGGACACGCGTCGAACAGCAAACTCATCCTTAAATCCATTCAGCGCTTGAACCTGACAAGTTTCACTTGGCCCCAACACGCTTGACACTTCTTTCCCAAAACGCCAAACCCTACAAGCTAAAGAATATTTCCTGCAAAAACAATTGCCATCTGCCGCGAAAAAGCCACCAGCCCTTAACTCGTCAAACCTTATAGGCTTAGAACGCCAAACTCCGAAAATCTCTCTGGGGCTCTGCTCTTGGGTCGCCTCCGTGGCTGCATCGGGCTTGCCAGTCCTGAGCTGCAAGTGTCTGCGCGATGCTGCGGGGATCTGTCAAACAGGAAAAAGGAATGAATTTGTGAGCGCTGTGTATAAAATCCTAGAAACGGATATACGTAGGATACCGCTTAAATGCACTCCACCTGCCCTGGTCACGCTGTAAGCTCTTTTTGGAATTTCGAGGTTCAAGCTCAAGTCGCGGTTGAGGACGTCATGCTTTAGAGGGCTCCTAATGCACTGGCCATTGCCAGCTGAGCCTGCTAGCTCGACTTTGGCCTCAGGTAGCCTCTGAAAATGTAGCGCATGGATGTTTCTACCAGGTTTTCATTCGCTCTATTCAAAACATTTCAATCCATAGATGGCGGCGGCAAAACCAGTCCCGAGAAATCAGGTGTCTTAACGGCAGGTCATGTGCCAAACCCTCCTTTGCCTAGATTGTGCAATGATGGGTCTTTGGTTAGGAATTTTTTAAAGATAAGGTTTGCTTTATGCGGCGCGGTGAGTGAAAGCAACCACGCATGATTCTTCGCGACTTCCAGTTCAAAAGCGCGTCGATTTGTCTGAAGTACTGACCCCGAAGGGAACAAAACAACATGGGACAACATTTGGAACGATGAGCCCTGGCTATGTTGATTAAAGGTGTTGGCATGCATTTTCCCTAAGCTCTACACCCACGCACAGACAGTCCACCTGCGTTGCTTTGAAGGGAGCCCAGCGGCAATCCTTCACAAACATCCTTGATCATCTCAAAGACGCCGTACGCATCCTGCGACTGCATAAGGTGCAACCGGTTCCATGTCCAACTACTGTACTACCGACAAGAGAGGTCGCTAGAAAACTCAAACGTTGTCAGATCCCTTGCCCAGTGGCATAATTTGGCAGGTATCAACCAGTGATGGCCCGAGAGCCATGCCTTTCACTTTAAGCTAAGCAGTGGTCGAATAGCCAAGGAGTTGACGGAAACAAGAGGCAAGCGTCTTTATTTGAACATGTCCCGCAGGACTCTGCAACCTGTAGTGTCATCACGTGGAGTCTTTGCGTCTTCGTATCGCGGCCACGCTCGCTAGACACAATACAAAGTGCAACTAAAATCTCGTGAACGGCGTGTATGTCCAAACACCGGTCCTACCAAGGAGCGGGGGTGGATGTTTACTGAAACCAATTACAAATCTAACTTGGCAACACAATTCCGTAGCTTCCTTCATTGCAATGATGGCCCGAGATGGATGCTAAGGAGAACCAGGATATTATCAAGAAACAAGTTTGGACATGATGGAAATCTGCTTGAAATTCGGACCGGCTTTCCGTGCGAGGGGGTTGACCAAAGCTCAACTCATAGTCTGGGAGGCCAATCCTCAAAGGGGTAGATACGATGCCAAATAGCTCAAATGAACCATGGACCATGCCCCTTAATCCTTTCCTCTGCCATCTGCTGGCAGCAGATCGTCACCCCGGCGGCGGTGCAGCGGAGGCTTTGAACTGGGGCACTTGGTCTGAAGGAATTCTGTTCATAAGGTGCAAAGGATTTCGAGGCATGCCGAGGCAAATCCTGTCTTTCTCAAGCTGGGCCTGTCTTGATGTAAGTTCCCTGTCGCGTACCTCTGCCACATTCCAAAAGGTGGAGCTTCCTTTCCTGGAGGCCTCCATATGTTTGCAACGACACGCAGCTATTCAAAGGGAACTGCCACCAGCAATCAGTCCATGGGTTCCCGGTTGGAATGAGGGCAGCCGCCGCATGAAGTGAATGGGAACGCATCTGCTACCGTGTGGTTGATGCCTGCGAAAGCCAGAAAGCCTATGAAAAAAAAAAAACCTAAGCCGTGATTCCTTGTCAACCCTGGCCCTTGCTGCCGTCGTTCCACGTCACACAACCGACAACTCGCAGCTCACAACCTGAGGAAGCCGCTGAAGAAGTTTGCCTGCGTGGCGAAGGAGCACACGGAATCCCACCGAGGGGACGGAATATCGTCCTGGCACAGGTTGCTATGCGGCAGTCACAGTTGGGAGCATTAAGCTAAGAGCTGCAGATCCTGGACTCTTCTCGACATGAAATTTCGAGAGACCACGATCTAGCCGGCACATATCCAACACTCTTGGGCTGTTGATGACTATAATATCTCTTCGAAGAATTTCGACGTCGCATGGTTGCCCGTCGTGCACGGCTCACATCAGTTGGCTTGCAGCCTCTCGCTGTTGTTGAGTGTTATGGAGAGGCTGCAAGTTGTCACTCGCAGTCGCTGTGCAGGACGCGTTAAGTGCGCGCTAAGAAGCATACACTATGGACCATACAGACCATCCACATTCAATGGTTTCAAACTTGGGCTGCACGATCCTTTCGCACCAACTTTGACAGAACTCTTGAATCGTTCGCCAGAGACGTGTCGTATCATACTTGTTGTCCCTGCACCAAATTGGCTTGATTCGAATGTCAAAATTGCGCTCTGGAACCTAGATAAAGTATCCCAGAACTTCAAATGAATCCCCTGAGCTACGTGTGCTGGAGCCTTTAGGCCCTGAAACTTTGATACCGCCCCGGTTGAGTTGTGGGTCTGGACACCAGCCGACTCGCCTGCCAAGCCACGGCCAAAGCATGCAAACCCGATTTCTTGTTTGGGGATTGCCACTTTTGTCTCAGATCCAAAGCCGAAACCTTGAAAATTCCATCCTACAATCCCCGCTTGTGGATGTCATAAGGGGACGTTGGCTTGGAGCCTACCAGCACCGGCCGGCCTCAAAGGGGCGGCTTTGGCCCAGAGGTGGCAATATTACCTGTGTTCTGCTCAGACACTTTCTAGAACCTACGTCATCCAAATGTGAATCTCAGGTTCACGAACTTGGACTGAGGATCCGTCCATGTCAGGATGGCTGTGTGTGTAGGTTTGTGTAGGTTCTTGTGAAGCGAATGATGGGACGGCTTGGAGGTCTTGGGCTCTCAATGTTATTTCACATTTCGATGCAATCCGCGAGAACATGCTGGCATATACTTCGAGCAGCAGCAATTTTAAAAGGGGTTGAACAAGATGCAAAAAAAGGGCTGGCTCTAAGGCAGACATATCAAATATGGAGAACTCTCGACACAGCCCCCATGGTTGTTGACAAGGAAGGACGGTTCAACGGCCCTGTGTTCAGAGAAGCCTACACACTGCAAAGAAATTCGGATGAATTTCTCCGTACCACGCACCTGATTCATCTTTGAGCGAGGGAGCTTGTGCTACGCAAGTGTAACCTTGTAGAGGGTCACACACCAAAAAGGCTATAGAGCTCTGCACGTCTTGCGGATGGGCCACGAAGGAACTTGGGAGCAACTCAAGTCATGAAAGCTAAACCCCGCGTTTAGGCGTGGGCTGACGAAAGGTTATGCATAGTTGAAACCCAGCGGGAGGAGCTACGAGTAGCAAACGCTGGCAAGGTGTATGTTTCCAAGCTACGCCACTATGAGCCACTATGCTTCAACTCTTACACATATGTATATAAGCGTACAATCAACATCGTGACCCTTCTGCTTCATCCGCAAAACCTTACTACCGATAGATGCCAATATCATGTTCAAGTGCATCCTAGATACCTCATCCTGTAGGCAAGGCATCTGAGACTACAACTCCTAATTGCTTGGCCCCTCTAGTATGCGATCCTTTCAGGGAGCTGGGTCCAAGAAACCCGAGGCCCAGGCTTCAAACAAAGTTTGGGGGTTGCAGGAATGCATATACTAGTCACTAGTCTGTGGCGAACCCATTTATACTGAGGGGTTGGTATTTGGGCCACAAGGTCACTTCTTTATCTGTTGTAAGGGAGCATGTGTGTGGTGCGTAGCCCAGGACAGCGGTGTACCTGTGAACCTTTCTAGTTGCAAGAGTTCCATGAAGAGAGCAACATCCAACGCTAGTCGGGCAGGCAAGTACTCTTTGAGGAAAATCGCCACGGAACTCAAAGAGGCCATCATCCAAGGCAGAGCTATAGTATGGTCTCATGGATTGCTTGGCTACTCCACTGTCCTCATGCCTTCACAATTCAGTGGGGCTTCGTGAACCTCAGACGAATCACGTAACCGCTAGAGCGACACACGTTGGTAAAACATTGCAGCATCTTTTCAAGATTCTAGATAACATTGTTTTCATCGCGTGCTCCTCCCAAAATTGCGGGAACCTCCCTGTATGAAATTAGTCGTGGCTCTTAAGTGCCCGCGGCCGTCACACTAAATATGTATACACATACTTCGATAGATGAAGGCTCGAAATCATGATGACCTCATATACAGCCAGTAGAGGCCGTAGGAAAATTGACTTGTCCCAAGAGATCTATATATGCAAACCTGGGACACATGCTGGGCCGACCAAGGCAGCTCGCGGAGACATGTTGCCAGGTGCTATGCGGTATGCTCTGCAAGGTAACGATGCAACTAAAAATTGAGGGATGCAGCGTGCGTCGATCCCGCTTCACCTATGCGCATATGGGATGTCCGGAGTGAAGCTTGGAAGAGCCCCAAGTACGTCGCGAAAGGATATCACTGCTCAGCAGTCTAGATCCAAATGCAATTGCGTTAAAGCCTAGCCGTTGGTGAACAGAGGCCTCTACTGCAAAGAGATCACAACTTGAAGGGCGAATGAGCCAACAAGGGCTTGCGGATGTCAGTACGATCTGCTAGTCCACTACCCAATCCCATGTCTGTCTCAGGGCCTGTTAGGTTTAGAGTTCTGAGGCTGTTATTGGCCCAGTGGCTCCACGAGCGCTTGGGGGTTGAAACATGAGGGGCGCCGCCTGAACCCAAACATTCTGCAGGATGATCTCCAGCAATGCTGCTAACGGAAGATCCATGTAGTAGAGCAATACATGTATGTCAGAGCTTCCACAGAATCTAGTTCATTCATCCCATATTCACATCTCCTCATCGTCACATGTCAGACTGTCCTTCACTTCAATTGGAGAAGCAATCTGGTGCGCGGGCGTTGTGCTGGGAAATAAAAGTCTAGATACGCGCACTCGTACGGTTCTCTGCATCAGGTAGCCCTGCTCATCCTTGAGGTGCTGGCTGGCCAATGGAGGGTGCTACGGACCTACCACAAAGGCTTGCAACCATTTTGTGGGTTCATTCCTCTGTAGCCCCCTTAGACCTATAACAAAAGTACTGTCTATACTACTAATTCCCCAGGGTTCTACTACAATAGAAATGCGAAGTAACTCCTAAGGAGACTACACTCCTGCCCAAACACAACTTGCCCTTCTGGCTTCAGTGTCCTTGGTTGGGGTGTTGTTTCGCATTCGGACATTCCCTCCACAGCTGCTGAAAAGTTCTAGCTTGACAAAGGATCTGAGCCATATGTCATATGTGTCTGCACAAAGGAGGAGCTGTACCCAAGACCAGCAAGGCACATTTCCTGCAGCATGGACCGGCGCTATACATCCTTGTTCGGCAACGGGCTTGCAGGAAGATGAGGAAACTTCCCAAAAACATGGGGTCACCCCTGTATACCTCAAATACTGCGTTTCCTGACAACCCCATACATAAGTTCATGAATAAATGGACCACTCTTTTTTGAGAAGCCTCCAGGTGAGTGGTCGCGTTTGACACGGCGCGGGCCCAATTCTTGCCCTCAGAGCTGATCCCACATGTCAACAAATGCCAAAACAACAAGGAATAAAGAGATATCGTGCCGCATAAATTTTGACGGATTTGGGGCACTGTAGTGAACACGGCCTACCGACTGAAAAACGTGCATCCCTAAAAGTACGGACGGCTAGTGACCCAAGACGCTGCCGTGATTAGACTCCAAGTATTTGTTTTCGTCTTGATCTTCATTGAGGGCAAGAACTAGGGCCGCATTTCTGGGTGCGTGCATATGTTACCAAGGTGGACCGCGAATTGCGGAGACCCACCCAACTTCCGCCCCTGTGGATTCTCCACTGGGCGAGAGCTCGAGATATTCCAAGACTTAGGGGCCAGGATGAAAAGGGAGATGGAGAGAAGGTAGTTTCCAAAATGCCCACGACGCTCTTTCTGTGGAGAGGTCTTTGTATAACGGTGGGAATTTGGAAGCCACCAAGTGTTCCCGGCCAATTACACAATCCATGCACCGGCTACCACCTCTTCGAGGTGCGCTTGAAGCCTGCAGCCCTTTCTAGGCCCGCAAAAAGTACCGCAAGCTGTACAAGTTGGGGATCTCACCAAAATCTGCACACCTCCAGCACCTTATCATTCAATAGGTTCTACTCAAAGTCCTTCTGTACAGAAATCTCTGGAGATTCCCAACCAATCGACAAAACTCTGCAGTTTGGCAGCCAGATTCTTCTGTGGTCCCTTTCTCCTGCAGCTTTAGAATGCCAGAAACGTTGCAGGCATCTAGGGGTTCTCAAACCTGCGAATCCCTTGAGGACGGTCCCTCATATAGATGGCACAAAACTCATGCCAATTTTGTACTTGGCATCAATTTTGTAACTCGCATATGTTGGGAAGGGTATTTCTAGGGGGTGGAGGTGCGGGGGGACATTGTTAGGGTAAGTTAGGGAAATAGAAGATTTTGCGGGGACCCTGTAGGCAGTATGTACCTTTTTCTGGATCAAGGTCAAGGTCCGTGATCTGAGTACATCTATGGCCTGAGCCTAGGCTCTAAAACCCTATAGAATATGGGGTATATTATTGGCGTTATATATTAATAATGGAACAAGAAAATGGAAACTGTGATATTAGAATAGGGTATATATGGGGGGGGGGTCTCCAAAGGAGCGTTGACAATATAGTAGAATCTAAACAGGAATTGAAGGCTCCACCGGGTTTACAACTGATTTCTCGACATCAGGTTCAAGATGCTTCTTCAAAATAAGTTCCTCCCAAGTACTCGCGATACGGTGCATCCCCTATCTCCAGAAAAGCGGGACATCATTGTTGAAATGCTACCATCTTGGTGCAACTAGTCAGCCGCTATAGGCCACGTGTGACGAAGCTGGCGCCTCTGAGTGCAAGAAAGCTTGCTGACAACTCAGCGGATGTTGGGCACCCAGCCTCGGGAAGGATGATGCATGGTTTAGGGCCAGGGATGTATTATGTTTCAGCAGGTTGAGATTCTAAAATTTGGGGTTTCGCCCAATGAAAATCGGATTGGGTTCCAAGGCTTCCCCAGGGCATTTCAAACCCTCCCACTTGCCCGAACTCCTGCGAAGCTGTCTAACCATGGCAGCGCGTAGCAAACACTCCCAACTCTCCTGAGAGATGGATCCGGAGAAGGATCTAACACCCTATAGAATATGGGGTATATTATTGGGGCTATATAGGGATAATGGAAAAGAACATGGAAACTACTATATCATAATAGGGTTTTTGTTGGCAGCCTCCCGTATGTTGGCTGCCTGATTGAGAAGGGCCTCGACCCATTATGGCCTCCCGGAGCTCCTAGACTTAGTGATACGTTATGATATAGTAGAATGTAGTCTAGTAAAGTGTATAGTATGATATGTTTTTATATCCTGCATTATACTGTAGTATACTCTAATCTACTGTAAGGTCCAACTTTGGGCCCTCGCACCTCCCACTATCTCAGCGGAACTCAGCCCTTAGCTCTTGCCGTCCCACCATCTCAATAGGACACGTAGGCTGCACAGACAGACGTATAAGGGTTTCCCAAAATTAGGGGTACCTTTTTGGGGGTCCCCATATTAAGGAGTATAGTATTTGGGGGGATTATATTGGGGTCCCCTTATTTAGTGAAACTACCACATAGGAAGCCTAGAAAGTGAAGGTCCCAGAGCCGAAGCTCGCATCTCGATAGCCAATCATTCTC